TAAGGCAGTGCTGTTCTTGACGTAAATTTGTTTTGTTGCCTTTTGTGATTGAATGTTATAATAAAGCAAAATGTGCTCTATCGTGAGTGCCTTTAGCGCTCAGAACAAACTCTCTGCAATCTAAATTTGTAATCGACTGTACAACACTTTCACAACAATAGTTCTCCTGTGTCTAGGTATACTTTGAGTGAAATTGTCCCTATTTGATTAATGTTTGGCTTGAATTGATGATTCAATCACAAAAGTAAGTTCAATGATTTTCCCTTGGAAAATCCCTTGTTTACAGAACTTGAGTCGACCTCTACAACGATTCTGTGTTGGATACAGTACTTTGGGACATATTGTATTATTCCCTACTGCATTGTACACAACATCGATATCTCACTTGTATAGGGTCATTCCCTTTTTGTGTGGATGTAGATTGTCCGACAGACTTGCCGTCTGGCATACTTGCGTCAAATCCCGACATCACGATCAAAGTCCGATCGTACGTGTCGAAAACTTTGTACTTGAATAGTTTCTTTTCAGAATGTAAAAACTCATATTTCGTCATATCCCAACACTCCTCTTGCTACACGTTTGGCAACTGGAGAGCTTGTACAAGATTGCACTGGGTTCGAAGAAGCTCGGCTCTTCGAGGCTGTGGGTCTTGATCAGTCCACTTATTGTCATATGCCCAGTGCCACAATTCGTCAAGAAAGCAACGCACTTGAACAGATAGAGATGATGAAGCATTCGGATCGTGGGTGCAATGAACTTGTGCGTGTCATGGATCGCATCTATGAAGAATGTGCAAGGATTCTCTTGCCAAGCAATGCGGAATGGCTACAAGACCGGCACTACGTGAAATTAAGCAAGTCGCAAGGTGTGTCGGCAGATCAAAAGAAGAAAGTCGCAATCTTGGAGAGATTTGCCAAGGGGCTCTTTATTCTTGTCAAAAAGATGCTGCAGCATACCATGGCCTATCGGATTGCGAGAGCAATCATTGTAGACAATGCAACCAAGGCCAGCTTGCCAACGTTTTTAGTGATCTAGACCCTCCAAGGTTCTGCCACGTTGCTCGAATACGTGGATGCAAAGACATGGCTAGAGCCATTGAAAGCAGCAAAGATCAGAATAAGAAACGCGGTTCCGTTGTGCGCATCGACCCGGCAACTCTCACACGGATGGTGAAGCACATTCTTTCGTTTTCTCAAGCTCTTTCTTGGGGCACCAAGGAACTAAGACAAAACGGAAAGACTGAAACGATCACATTCCCAAGACTCACAAGAACACACCCAGTGGAAGTGATGTTTATGGATTACGCAAGAAAGGAGGCAGAGCTCAAGGGAATTGAGTTCAACGAGGAGCGTCAACCACCTCAATGCACAACCTACTACCTCCTTGTCAAGCATTTGACATCAAAGGCTGATTAAAGTACCACTTGTATTGACTATGTCCAGGATATCTTGGTGAATGTTTGAGTGACTGGGCTTACAACAATCATTGAGCAAGTCGTCGCCCCAACTCAGCAGAAGGCAATGCAGCGTTACGTGTTAGTCCTTCAAAACTTTCTGAAGTACCAATATGATGGGCACCTTGAAGAAGGATCAGTAGTAAGTAAAGCAAAAGGAAATGTGCAAGATGCTGCATCTATATCCCTTCTCACAGTGTTGTCAGATTTGTTCCCACAACATCGACTATGGCCTAAGATTGGAACAACAAAGTTATGAAGGCAATAACTCATCAAACTGTGTTCAAATCCAAGGCATCAAACATTGCCTTGCGTGCAAGTTTGTTGAGTACTTCATGCGTGTTATACTTCCCGGTGAAGTGAAGGAAAATTGAAGCTCAGCAAACAGTGCCAGCGTTGAAGATGCATTGGACTACATTGAAGACTCGCTTGATTGCTTCCATTGCTACCAAGCTCATTGTGTACGAGTGAAAAGTCAACAAAAAGCAATTCAGCAAGTAGATCTTAAACTCAAAGAGGAGGTGTTGAGGAGGAAACAACGCGGCACAACAGTAAAAATTATGATGGACTTCAAGCAAAAGTTCTTGGAAAAAAAGTTGTGTTCAAGCCAAATGAATGACTTTGGACAGCAAGGTAACAGTTGGCATATTGGTGTCATAGAGTATTATGACTTTGAAGCGCTATGTCAAGCCAATGGCAATACAGCCCAAGAAGTTCCCATGATGTTCCCACGTGATCAAATTCTTGATACCGGGAATAAACAAGACGGACTCTGTGTGTTGTCGATGCTAGAAGCGATGATGAAAATTGTCACAGTGCAGTTCCACTTTGTCAAGAGAATTATATTGGCTAGTGACAATGCCAATTGGTATCACAGTAAGGAACTGATCTTCCCCATCTGCTTTCTCAATCAGCTATCAAGCGGCCCAAAGATTATCAAGTACATTCACCCTGAGACACAGGATGGAAAGGGTTTGTGCAATTCTCATGCAGCGGTTGCTGGGACTCATGTGGATCGGCACTATATTTACACCCAAAAGGACAATACGCTCACAAAGAACGAAGCTTGTATGCCTACAGAACTCGCCAACGCATTATGTACCAATGGCGCAATCAAAAACTCTGGTAAGACAATAGTTTTTTGTCTGTTTTTATAGCATCTGTTTTCTCATAAAGTCCCATCTTGCCTTTATTCCAGCGGTTCAGCTGGTCGAACTCAACTTCCAACGTCTTGACAAAATTTCGCAATTATGTTTTGGCGCAGGTGAAGCTGCAAAAGGATACTTTGCTAGAGCAAATGAAATCCGTTTTTTTTCCGGATCTTGATGGGCTTGCTAATTGGTCCAGGCTTGATTTGAACAATGAATCCACCTGGAGCTCAGCGCAACCCTTAGTACAAGTCATCAATTACTCCGGCATATCCGAAGGCATGGTTTCTAGAGCTGGTTTCTCAGGCTGGAAGAACAACAAAGGCTCTTTCACCCCTGTTGTTGATCCTTCCCAAGAGCCAGATTGGTATGATAAAATGGAAATGTCCATTATAGCCTTGAATAAAATTCAGAGAGCCAAGGATTATTTTGATGCTTGCAAAGTCGGGAGATCAGTAATTGCTCGATTGAATGCTCATATTCAGTCGGCGAAAGTTGGAAAAGAAGTCATGAAGCAAGCCATGTTTGAAGTTACAAGCGGGCATAAGACCATCAACAACGAGGATGTGCAACATAATAGCAAATTATTGGAAGCGGAAGAGAATCACATGAATGATGACATGAGCGAGTCGGACTGCTTTGAATCGTACTATTGGGAGATTGAGCACACTGTAGCATACGTTGAAGAAGGCCAGCAAGATGACACAGCATTGGATAGTGACATTGAGGATGGCGACAGTGATGGCAAGGCAAGTGTGGATGAAGAAGCAGATAGTTACCAGGTCAAGGCAAGTGTCAACCGCCTTCTTGAAGAAGCACCAAAGGAACACTACAACAAAAAAACATTCTTCACTCAGGTACAAGTTAAATGGTACAAGCCTTTTTGCACTTTTTATCCCACCAAGCCAAAGGCGACAAAAGAGAAGAAAAAGAAGACAATTATTGAAGAGGATGAGTACGACAGCGGAAGGTTGGTGGACCGGGCCATCGGACTGGCTCAAAATTACATTAACACGGCTGAATGCTCCATCACACCGGCACTCAATGCCAAGATGAAAGAATACAAGATTGCTGATCAATGGCGTCCACTAGAGCCTTTGATGCGGTCTCAAGGTTGGGCAAGGCGACCCATGAGCGGAGGACTGTACGGAAGGAACTACATGAATGATAAATTCAAAAAAAATTGCTTTGTTCAATTCAACCGTGGTATTGTTAATAAAGGGGATAAACAGAGCCCAACCCAGACTCTTGCACTGATGAAGGAAGAGCATCAGGGCTTTTATTGTTATCCTGGACTTAATGAAATTGTTCGGATGTTTTCCAGTTTGGTGCAGCAATCAAAACAAAACGGCCACAAGATCATCTCATTCCAGAAGATCTCTGAACCATTGGTTCCTCCAGAGATCAAAGCGGAGTTGCAATCGATGCTTGATGAAAATCCTGATTGGACCCCAGTACCATTGCTAAATGAATGGAAAGAGAGATTTTCAGGCAACAGAGTATATGATGAAGAAAAGGTGAAAAAACAAGCCACACGTCTACGAGCGAAGCTGATGATTGATTTGAAAAGGCAACTGATGAGAAGCATGGCTGGATAGATTATACATCATGAAAAGAGTAGACTTTGAAAAATTATCACTTAGTATCAAATTAGAATTTGACTATGCCCTCAGTTGACAGTAGTTGGACAAGAAGCTATATTATTTGCGGTGTGGTTCTCCTTTTCATTGTCAAGATCATCCTTACAAAGAACCTGCACGATGTCACGCATTCTGAGTTTTTGGGGCTGTTTGCCAAAACGTTCTTTGTAAACAGCCCAGAGTTTGGCACGCTTCATCTTATCGTAGTAATCTGTCACCTCCTCTTTGTTATTATCATCCTCACTGTCACTGTTGGACATATCATTACCATCTGGATTGGCAGGTTCACTGTCAACATTGCGCCCCACAATGGACACTTCGTCTTTGCTTTTGTCCAAAGTTGATTCAATAGGAGTAACAGCGGAAGTTTTCTTCCCACTATTCTTCCTTCTTTTGCCTTGCTTTGTAACTTCATTGTCCTCGCTTTCCATCAAAGTTGGCCTCTCAAAAATGGTCATTGCAGGCACATCATCTGGGTCCATCACCACCATTATTTTGATCGTGAGCACACCAGTGAAGGTTTCAAGCACAATCTGACCATGAGAGGAACCTGATCTCGGTGTGGATTTCTTGGCTCTGCCATTCTCATGATCAATTGCTTTCACATGTGGGATGATTCGAAAAGCACTCATTGCGCCATCGCATTCAATAGGAGTCCAAGAGGTAGTTTTCTTCCTATTCTTCTTGCTTTTACCTTGCTCCACAGTGACTTCTTCTTCTCCTTCTTTGTCGTTGTTGTTGTCATCGCTCTCCGCCAAGGTTGGTCTCTCAATAATGGTCATGGTAGCAACCGCGTCATCCGTATCCGCGATCACCACCAAATTGATCATGAGCAAGCCCGAAAAGTCCTTGAGAATGATTTGACGATTAGAATCAGATCTAGGTGGAGACATCTCAGCATGGACATCCTCCCGATGAATCACTTTCACATGAGAAGCGATTCCAAGGGCACCGATTACACCTGATTTGAAGAACATTCTGACGGTGGATGTATTTTTTTGTGACCGGGCACTGCCGTTTTGATGACATCTTAGATTTCCCGGCTCTGGTTTTGTTGTTACTGCGGGAAGATTTTGAATTTGAATGGCGTCTTTTGGTGAAACCCATGGTGAGTGCAATAGAACTTCATGTTCCTGTTATTTTGAATTTTGAATTCCGCGTATAGATTGTACGACAAACACAAAAAACGATAATGTAACACTCCCGCACGATCCGGCATGATAACAGTCACCGGTTTTGATGAAAATATGTTCAAACAGGAAACGCGGGACTATTTGGAGGTGGGGAACCGTCATAATCTGGACACCATCGTCCGCAAAAAGTTAACATTTGTTGATTGAACTTTCAATATGAAGTTTGATGCTACAAAACTCCACGACTTTTTCAATGTGAAGTTCTACAGAGCCTCTGACACCGCAGAAGGCAGATGGAATGGTTATGGACAGGGACATCTTTGTGTCAATTTCATCAACAGATGTGATTTATAGCCGTGGCTATGCATTTGATAGCCAAGGACTGGGACAATTGACCTACCACAATGAACTCACCAAAGCAGATGGTCTGAACTTGTGCATTGTCAAAAACTTTGTGATTGAAGTTTCCAAGAAGTTGCCGAGGCTTACATTCAAGGGTGCTTCAGACGTACTTGGAAGCAATGGCTTGAAGAATATGTACACCATGAGGATGGGATCTTTTGAAGATGCAAGGCGACTCCTGAACATACTGCATCTTCTAGAACAAGCGGCAGGTCAAGCTTCCGAAGGCAACCGCATTTTGCTCCCAGATCCACAGTCTGTCGAGGCCATCACTACTCGTACCTTGATTGGTGCTGAAAACGAGGAAGTCAAACGCCACTTGATTTTTTCAAAGCTCATCCAGCTTGCAATCAAAGAAGACGGAGAACTTCCTTCTGTATCCAATGAACACGCTGTTGTAGCTCCTCCTCATTGTTTTACTCTTGGAGACGATACCGGCATTAGTGGTGTTGACATTATTGATGTAAATGCATCATCGTCTCATTGTGATAAAGCTAATGAAGCAGACAATGATGATGAGTCGGCCCACGATGAATCTCAACCTCTCACACCTGACAGTGCCAAATGGCAGGAGTCACAACAATGGCAATCCGCGTTCTAACATTCAAAATCACAAGAAAGCTAAGAAGATAGCTTTGATATAATTGTCTTTCTATCCCTTTAATCTTTTGCTCTTTGAAATCCTAGCACTAACTACCGTTGGCACCTTTGTCTTTTCATTCCAGAGCGATTAGTAGGTAGATGATATGTGTGTCACACCACACATGCATTTTTTCATCCGACACGAGAGCGGCCGGACAGACCCAAAAATTATACAACGCTGCGAATTCTTTATTTGTCGCATCAACAATAAAACTGCATTATTGTCTCTTCAACTACAGTACCCGGTATATGCACACGGCACAACAACACATGATAATTTCAGGTTAGCAATGACACATCTGCAAAGATCAGGTAACACTAAAGGAGCAAGCTGAATGAGACAAAGAACGGCATAAGGA